GGAGTGCCAGAGAAAAGCGATAATAACAACAAAAAATGCAATATGAGTTCTGGTAAAAACAAGACTGATAACAGCAAAAATTGCAATATGAACACTAGTAAAAATATGATTACTGAAGACATTAGGTTTATAATACCCATAAATTCATATACAGATGTCCTCAAGGACACATGGTACAGCGGATGAAGACGTTGGTTATCCTGGTGACAGTTCAATACCCGGTTAAGGCAGTGGAGAACTTGGTGAGGGATAACTGATAACTGATATCCATTAAACATGGCACGTGGAAATGGAACAGTCTACCACAGTGAGCGAAATAAAGGATTCAATTCGACATTCCAACCACCTGAAGAAGGCCGGAGCGTACAACGGCTGAAACGTTATAATAAATATGAGGACAACAGTCCGAATAATGTAAATCGTGTAAAAAAAAAAAATCAATATCCACTCCTCATTTTGTAACCATTTCCACATATTTGTTCAATTGCTTTTTGTAATATTTTTTTAATTGGAAAGAGACTTGATGGACACCCTGTATAAATATATTGTTACATATATTTATTGTTTCTTTTTGGGTTTTTTTTATGTCCTGCGAATTTATAATCTTTTGTATAATTTTTGGCATCTTATTAATAATTCTGGTCATCGTGTGAAGCTGCTGTCTAACGTTATTGGAATTTTTGTTTCAGTTAGGGCACCCCTTTGAGATGGAACTCAAGTAGACAAGAATATGAATGTTCAAGATCTTCTCATTGTCGCCAGATTACTCACTTGACACCAGGCTACTCGTGAAGACAAGGAACGATTTACTTCACCGGGGACGAAAAATGGGGTCCTTACGTGAATTTGAAGCAAACAAAAGAACGATTAATATAAATTTTAATTTATTCGTTTTCCAGGTTTTATCAAAAGCCAGAAGTAATAATGGTTTAGTGATTTGTCTTCACAATTAACATATAGCTGGGGGTAGAAGAGGTGGATTCATACCTTTTCCAAGAGTATTTGAGAGTAAGTGCATATAACAAACCCAACAGAAATTGGAACTCGACTCTCCGATTAACAATTCTTAGTCATTATCCACTACATCACCCACACATCCAAGCTTACAACACTTAGTATTCCCAAGTGGTCACTCATCTAAGTACTGATCAGGTTCAACATTACTTAACTTCGGTGATTGTACTTGAGCCGTTATTTCAACATATTACGGCCGTAAGTGCAATATCTCTGGGTGAAAATAATATTTCTTTTAATCTAATCCCACCCAAGCAAGGCGATAATGCCACTTAGACGCAAGGGAAAACTGGGAGTGAAACAGAATGGAAACCCAATCCTAAACCGGAAACAAAGGATAAACCTCTTCTCCTGTTCAAAAAGCTGGGGAGGAGTGTTTTCTAAGCGTAGCTCAGATGTGGCACAAGGCCGAAAGTATTAGGCATCTAGTGAGGATCGAACTCACTTTTCAGTTGTAACTGATCTAGCGAGACAAGCTTGCTAACCATTACACCGCCTCGAGGTGCACCGTAATACGTAAAATAAATTTTAAAAAAATGAACATTTATATAACAATCTAATAGAAAATGCTGACGAATCATCTCTTTGGTTCTGAAGCTATGCTATAAAATATCAATAATATAAGGATATGAAACGCTAATGTAAATAATAAATAAGTTTAAAATGAGAGAAGAAAGAAAAAAAAACGATTTACACACAAAATCTTCCAGTGATGCCGTCTTCAGTGTCAGAAGAAAAAAAATGTATTTTTTTTTATTGTTTTCTTGAAAATATTTGCAAATAAATAATACAAGAGAAAACGATCCATTTTTTTTATTTTTCTTCCAGTTAAAAAAATAATAAAATTTTAAAAAGCCCTTCCCCGCTCAGCCGCAAAGAAAAAAAAAAAAAACTTAATTTACATTAAAAAAAAAAAAAAAAAAAAAAAAAACACAAATTAACTAAAAAAAAAATCATTTTTTCTATAACAAGTCTGGACATCTTATTTTCTTGTCTAATAGATTTTCGGTTGCGATCGATGAGTTAAGGAATGGAAATGTTTCGGAGAGGCGAAGATTAAGATTGAAATAGTAGTCGGGGGAGGGGGGAATAAAAAGTGGTAAAGCCACCGGCAGAAATAGAGAGAAGATTGAATTTAAACCGCAGACGATCGATACCACCTGGAAGCAGCTAATCGCTGTTATCAATCTTCCTCGACGGTCGTACCTAGAGTAATATGAAATGAAAATACATATATAAATCGAAAATATGCGGAGATATATGTTTCCTTCCCTGTCTCTCTGTCTCCCTCTCCCTCAACACATTATATATATATATATATATATATATATATATATATATATATATATATATATATATATATATATATACAGAGTGGCAATAAAGTCACTATATAGTTACTTATGCAAGCAAATATATGGATATAGATCCGACAGTATCAAGAAAAATATACGGAAAAAAAAAAACAAACAAAAATCCTTATATACAATTATGTTGTTTTAATATTAATATGTCAACGTCGGACGTTTCGGTCTAATAAACCATCTTCAGGACATATTCATAATTGTCATGTTGAATTGATAATGTTAATTATATTTTATGAATATGTCCTGAAGATGGTTTATTAGACCGAATCGTCCGACGTTGACATATTAACATTAAAACAGCATAATTGTATATAAGGATTTTTGTTTGTTTTTTTCTGTATATTTTTCTTCATAGTTACTTATATTATAAGCATTAAAGCAGGTGGCTTGCAGTTCGAACAGAATTCGTCATTAATTTAATATTATTTATCATCGCATTTTATTATTATTAACCAGAATGAACCAGAATTAACCAGAATCATTTTAATAATAAATTTCTGCACTGATCATTAATTGCTTTGACTTTATTGTAATTGTAAGTAACTGTATACTTATTTATTGCCACTTTTATTTGTTCTACATTGTTTTCCATGATATTTTTACGTAATTTTTTACAACTTGTTTTTTGGTACGATAACAATTTTTATAAGTTGGAAATAAATTTGAGAATAATCGAAATTAATTGTGAAATCCATCGAAAGTCACCCATAAAATAAAAATAATTGTTTGTACGGAAAATAAGGATCTACAAACATGTAATTGTCTTTATATTAAGCGGCGACAGAAGAATTGTCGTTGAACTTTTAAAAGATAAGCTTAAATATTAATGCTATACTTAAATGCAGCGATCCGCGTCCTGGGTAAGACGTTAAACTACGTCCAGCAGCAAGGCCTCTGATCAGGAGGTTTTGAGGAGCGTGGAGCCACCTCTTAATTGCTAGTGTTCCCATGTCCACCCTGACCTGGGGTGGTAGCACCTGTTAGGGTCCCAGCTATAGTTAACTATTACCAGCAATACTTTTTTGAAAAAAATATTACCAGCAATACAATTTTGAAGGATATATATTACCAGAAACAGGTTTTTGATAAAACAAAACATTACTAGCAATAAACATTTTTGTCAGCATTAAATAACCCATTGAGGTTGATATATCGTAAAACAAAATAAACCAAACCAATCTAAACAAAAGAATACATATTCTATTCATACGAATCTATCCTAAAAATGTTGTTGGCATTAAATAACCCATTGAGGTTGATATGTCGTAAAACAAAATAAACCAAACCAATCTAAACAAAAGAATACATATTCTATTCATACGAATCTATCCGAAAATATTGTTGGTGGCATTAAATAACCCATTGAGGTTGATATGCCGTAAAACAAAATAAACCAAACCAATCTAAACAAAAGAATACATATTCTATTCATACGAATCTATCCTAAAAATGTTGTTGGCATTAAATAACCCATTGAGGTTGATATGTCGTAAAACAAAATAAACCAAACCAATCTAAACAAAAGAATACATATTCTATTCATACGAATCTATCCTAAAAATGTTGTTGGCATTAAATAACCCATTGAGGTTGATATGCCGTAAAACAAAATAAACCAAACCAATCTAAACAAAAGAATACATATTCTATTCATACGAATCTATCCTAAAAATGTTGTCGGCATTAAATAACCCATTGAGGTTGATATATCGTAAAACAAAATAAACCAAACCAATCTAAACAAAAGAATACATATTCTATTCATACGAATCTATCCTAAAAATGTTGTCGGCATTAAATAACCCATTGAGGTTGATATATCGTAAAACAAAATAAACCAAACCAATCTAAACAAAAGAATACATATTCTATTCATACGAATCTATCCTAAAAATGTTGTCAGCATTAAATAACCCATTGAGGTTGATATATCGTAAAACAAAATAAACCAAACCAATCTAAACAAAAGAATACATATTCTATTCATACGAATCTATCCTAAAAATGTTGTTGGCATTAAATAACCCATTGAGGTTGATATGTCGTAAAACAAAATAAACCAAACCAATCTAAACTAAAGAATACATATTCTATTTATACGAATCTTTCCTAAAAATTTTGTCGGAATTAAATAAATGAGGTTGATATACCGTAAAATAAAATAAACCAAACCAAATGCAGCGATCAATTTTATGTTCGTCTCTAGTTTATTGTTGCCTATCGCATATAGCAGCAGTATGCCTCACAAAAAGACATCTCTGCCAATAGAGGACCAGATTACAATAAAAAAAAGCCAGGCCGCAGCGAGAAAAGGAAAATCCCGGGCAAATGAAAACCCAGATCAAACGGTAGCCAGGAGAGCTTCCAATGCTGCGAATATTCAGAGACTCTGAAAATCTTGAACAAGTCGAAGGCCAATCAAGAACCCTCTGTAGCAGCTAGCTTAATTAACGCTTTTATGCTAGTATTGAATAAAACGATAAAAATATCGTCTCATGGTATTCCATATTTATGAGTTGAAATGTATGATATCAAGGAGAGAGCGTATGCAAATATAAAAATTGGACTTTGCGGTCAACACGCAGGGACGGCAGACTGTTTCATGCTTAGCCGTAATCTTCAGGCCATGTGGCTGAATGTTGACTTTAAGCAATGTTCATCTTCCGAGATAGATAGATAGATAGATAGATAGATAGATAGATAGATAGAAATCAGAATGAGATAGATGGATAGATAGATAACGAACAGACTGAAATAGATAGATAGATAGATAGATAGATAGATAGATAGATAGATAGATAATGAACAGAATGAGACAGATGGATAGATAGATAATGAACAAAAGGAGATAGATAGATAGTTAGGTAGATAGATAGATAGATAGTGATCAGAATGAGAGATAGATAGATAGATAGATAGATAGATAGATAGATAGATAGATAGATAGATAGATAATGAAAAGAATGAGATAGATCGATCAATAGATAGATAGATAGATAGATAGATTTTGAAACGTTGCACGAACCTGGGCAAAAATTTACAGTGGCTGATCTTGCTACTATTTCAGATTAAAAAAATAAATAAATAACGCAATTATTCATTTTGTTTCATTTAATTTAGATGAACCAAAACGAATAACTGCGTTATTAATTACTTTTTTTGTTGTATTTTTCCAATGACACATAACCCAGTACACATGTTAGTACTTCGTATGTCCATTCCACGAAGCTCAGTACTCTTTTCTTTGATTCTATGTGACGGAACTGTTCAGCAACCTTGATATATTCGGGAGGGATATCAGAATAATCAAGAACCCATACTGGCAGCAAACAGCATGCATGCGCATAGAGAACAAGTTCAGTGAATATACAAAAATAGAAAGGAGCGTAAGGCAATGGTGTGTCTTCTCACCGGACCTGTCCAACCTATACAGCGAGGCAATCCTGAGAGAATTGGAAATCCTACCGGGATTTAGCATTGGTGGCCACAACCTTAATAAAAAGATATGCAGACGACACAGTACTGATAGCAGACACGGAAGCAAAATGACAAAATCTCTTACGGAAAGTAGCAACGGAGAGTGAGAAGAAAGGACTAAGCATAAACTACAAGAAGACAGAATACATGGTCGTCAGTAAGAGGAAGAACCCGAAATGCGATTTGCAAGTCGAGAACACTAGAATCAAGCAGACGTGGAAGTTTAAATATCTGGTAAGCGTCTTGACAGAAGACGGTAAGTGCGACACTGTGATCCGTTGACGGATTGGGATGGCCAAGGACACACTCCAAAAGCTGAGCAGAATATTGCGAGACAGTAGGATTTCTTTGATAACAAAGAAAAGAATACTGAGCTTTTACGTGACATCTGTTCTTCTTTTATAGCAGCGAATGTTGGATGATTTCCTCAAGGATAAGGAAGAGACTCGAAGCGACGGAAATGTGGTTCTACAGAAGGATGCTAAGGATATCATGGACCGAGCATGTGAGCAACGATGAGGTCTTAGGTTACAAACAAGGAGAAGGCTTATACGTAACATCAGAAAGAGGCAGCTGAAGTTTCTGGGGCATATAATGAGGACAGAGGGCTTGGATAATCTGATACTCACGGGTCGAATAGAGGGAAAAAGAGACAAGGGATAGCAGCGCGTGACATACCAGAGGATCATGCGCAGGCGGATGACAGAACGTGGTCTGGGAGAGGAAGTAGAGTGAAGGATCTTGCTGAAAAGTGCAAGGGATAGAGGGAGGTGCAGAGCCATGGTCGCCTATGTCCTGAAAGAATATGGCAGATAAAAAAAAATGTACATGGGTGTATATGTAGAGAGTGAGAGTGTGATAGAAAGTGTAGTAAGTTTCTCACTGGCTACCCCATACTTCCGGTTCCTGTCTCCGAATTATTACAGTTAAACTACTTCCTTTCTGTTCTAGTTTAAACTCTTATTTCAGTTCCTCTTACCCCACAGCAACGAATATCTACAACACGAAAGTGGCAGTGTATTCTCAAATCCGATAGACAATGACCTAACGTTTAACCGGCTGGCTCCATAGATTACTCCCGGGGTCATGTTCGTCCCACATACGGCACTGTTGCAGGAAGGCGTCTGCCGGAATGGACAAAATTCTTTTTTTTTTTTCCTTTTTTTGACATCAGATATGCTCTATTGCTTTTAGCGTGCCAACGAAGAGCTGTACTAGCGTTGAATCTGAACGAAAGATCGATGTTGTCGGTCGATTTGAATGCCACCTGTATATTTTCAAATGACTATCTCGAAAAGAAATGCAAAGGAGAGGTTATAATCTTCGGCATTGTATTCATTGAATTCGAACTAATAATAACGTTATGAAGCATTTTGTATTTGTTACAGGTAATGATTTATCAGTGCCTAAAATGAAAAGTTTGCATAATTAAAAGAATATAATTCAAAAGTAAAATTTATTCTAAGTTTAGCTTTAAAAGACAACTGAAAAAAAAAAAAACGCGAAACTAGTGGCTTGTCTTAACAAATATCCACCCATTTCTTCTTTTATATATTAGGGCTATGCAATGCTATATAATGTTTGTCACCTTACAGTAACTAATAGTTCATATTCCACGTCACGTTAAAACACCGGTTCGATCACAGAAGTTAAGCAAACGATGAGCCTAATCAGTATCTATAAGGGTGACCCTCTAGAAATACCTGCGGCTTTAAGTTTAGATGTGCGGATGGTGCAATTGATAACGGTACGGAATTTTTAATCTGACAGTCGAGTTCTAATTCTTGTTGCTTTCGCTATATTCACTTACGCGTAAATACCATTGGGAAAACTATGCATCTACTTCTCCCCACCGGCTATGGGTTAAATATTAAGCTTTTCCCTGCTACGCCATAAAAAAATGAATCAACCAAACTATAACTTCATATTCTACCAACGAGTAGTCAGACTCATTAAGTAGGTTGTTCTATGATTTCATCTAACCTTCCTACCTTCAATGTGTCTCTAAGGCATCGTTTTTCATTTTTGCGTCAAATATTCTGATTCTCAAATATTGTCTTCTTTGCTATCATTTTCGTTAAAACTTTCCTGGTGCTTACACGTTCCGTCCATGGTATTCGGATCAGCTATCTACGGAAGCACATCTCTATCACCTGAAGTCTCCTCTTCTTATGTGGGGAAAATTGTCCAGCATTCACTGCGATATAGAAATTTGATATTACATAATAGTTCACTCTTTTGTTTTTGGTTTCTGTTGCTTCAAGTCTCTTCTTCATCTGTGAGGAGATTGTCCAGAATTCACTGTCATATAGGAGGACTGATATTACATAACAGTTCAGTATTCTTTTCTTTGTTTCTGTTGCTTCAAGTCTTTTCACCATCTTTGAGTAGATTGTGGAGCATTCACTGCCATATAAGAGGACTGATATTACATAACAGTTCAGTATTCTTTTCGTTGTTTCTGTAGCTTCAAGTCTCTTCTCCATCTTTGAGGAGATTGTCCAGCATTCACTGCCATATAGGAGGACTGATATTACATAACAGTTCAGTAGTCTTTTCTTTGTTTCTCTTGCTTCAAGTCTCTTCTTCATTTGTAAGGAGAATTACCAGCATTCACTGGCATATAGGAGGACTGATATTACATAACAGTTCAGTATTATTTTCTTTGTTTCTGTTGCTTCAAGTCTCTTCATCTGTGAGGAGATTGTCCATCATTCATTGCCATATAGGAGATTAAATATTACATAGCAGTTCAGTACTCTTTTCTTTGTTTCTAACATTTCCCTATCTTTTAATACTTTGATTACTTTATGAAAGACATGAGGAGATTGTCCATCCTTCACTGCCATATAGGAGATTAGATATTACATAGCAGTTCAGCACTCTTTTCTTTGTTTCTAACGACATTTTCCTATCTCTTAATACTTTCTCAAGTTCATGAAAGGCATGAGGAGATTGTCCAGCATTCACTGCCATATAGGAGATTAGATATTACATAACAGTTCAGCACTCTTTCCTTTGTTTCTAACGACATTTTCCTATCTCTTAATACTTTGCTTACTTTATGAAAGGCATGAGGAGATTGTCCAGCATTCACTGCCATATAGGAGATTAGATATTACATAGCAGTTCAGCACTCTTTTCTTTGTTTCTAACGACATTTTCCTATCTCTTAATACTTTGATTACTTTATGGAAGGCATAAGGAGATTGTCCAGCATTCACTGCCATATTGGAGGACTGATATTACATAACAGTTCAGTACTCTTTTCTTTGTTTCTCTTGCTTCTAGTTTCTCCTTTATCTGTAAGGAGATTGTCCAGCATTTACTATCTTATAGGTAGACTTATATTACTTAATAGTTCAGTACTCATTTCTTTGTTTCTGTTGCTTCAAGTCTCTTCCCCATCTTTGAGGAGATTGACCAGCATTCACTGCCATATAGGAGGACTGATATTACATAACTGTTCAGTAGTCTTTTCTTTGTTTCTCTTGCTTCAAGTCTCTTTTATCTGTGAAGAGATCATCTAACATTCACTCCTATCTAGGTGGACTGTTATTACATATCAGTTCAGTACATATTTCTTTGTTTCTGTTATCTTCAATCTGTGAAGAGATTGGCCAGCATTTACTGTCATAGTCAAGGAATGATATTACATAACAGTTGTGCATTCTATAATAGGAAACGCGAACTGGTTAAACATGCCTAACAGCAAATGCCTGATCTTGCATATTGTGCCTGCCACGTACACACTTAAAGTTATTTTTTTAACTTCCAAGCGATTTGGCTTCTTTTTTATTTTTATTTTTGTTTTAAAATTTAAACGCTTGCTGCGGGAAGTGTGAACATTCGTGCTTTTATTTGTGTTCTGATATTAAATGCCGTTTTGAAAAAAGGAAGCTCTTTCTAGTGCAATTAACTCTTTCGATCGTTGTAAATGTTGAAAATAAT